GGAAGCTGCCTCTGCCTGCTGCTGCCGGAGCAAGCAGCTGCTCGGACCCCGGGTTTGAGAGCCAGGTCAACACCTCAGGCAGCTGGGACCTGCTTCCAGCAGGAGAACTCGACTTCCGAGGGAAGGCTGCGAGGGGAGAGGGTCTGTTGTATCCTTTTCCCCTCTTTCATAAACACTTGGAGCGGAGTTAAATGCTGCAGAGCGCTCTGGATAATTTTGAGCAGGCTTAATAGGATTAAAACTAGATGTGTCCTAACATTAGAGGTACTTCCCACAGCTAGAAAACAGTTTTCTTCCTGAACTTTCATTAAATAAAAAAAGAAAAATTACACTGTTGCCTCTGAGACCTGACGGACAGCAATGTATCTCTCTCTCATTTCAGCTCCTGATGAGGATGTACTTGTTAAAGGAAAGCAATCCATCAAGAGTCAAGTTTTAGGAAACCAGAACTCGGAAAGTGAGATTCTCTTGGAAGGCGATGACGATATTATGTCATTCATGGAGGAAAGAGAAGTGGAGAACTTAACGGGTAACTTCAACTCTCTAATTTTCTCCTCAGCTTCTTTACTATTTAAGTTCCCATCTCCCTTGCTCTGTAGTGAAGCATGTTTTGGGATGCATACTGATAAATTGTTCCTTCCCATAACTGGGTCATTGGGTCATCTGGTGCTGAGGGTTTACTTGAGGAGAGTTGTGCATTTTCTTTCTCTGGCTTTTATGACCTTCTTGCTTCTGCAGTAGATGTCTGTATTCTAGGAAACCTTCCTTAGTGAAAGTAGCTCTACCTTCAAAAGGGTTTATTTTCTTTGTTTTTTACCTCGTTCCACTCCTCGAATCATTAGACCTGGTGGACAGTTAGGCAATTTGTCTGTAATTAAAGGCTTTGGAGAGCTTTAATTTTTTTCCCAAGTTTACAGAATTGTACGTAATGGTTATTTACTGGGATTTGCAGGATCTCTACACTCACTGGACTTAACTCCCTCTGTCATTCCCCCATTGAAGTCCCTTCTTCACAGAACATAGTCTTATTAGACTTCACTTCTTTTTTTCTGCAAAAGTAGTACTTGAGATCTTTGAACTTAATTAACTTTTACTCAGTCGCATGCTTAGTCACAGCATCTGTGCTGTTGTTGCAATCTGAGTTGAGTGGGTCCATTTCTGTACAGTTCAAAATGTAAAAACAGTAACTACCTTGGTTCAGGGACTGGGAGTTATCAAGAGTCTCTATTGTTATTTGAGGAATCTGTGTTTTACAGGGCAAATACAAACTTCTCTATGTTCTTCTGCTTTCTCAACTGGTATCCCATGTACATTTACTTTAGAGTAAAATGTCCTTTCCTGGGTAATTCTGGTTCCCTGAGAATCTAGTAGTATAAGCTTACATTGATACGTATCATACATAAGGTAATTCAGTGAAATTACTGGAAGTGATTATTTATTGGCAGTTTGCTTATCCCTGAACTGCATTCCACTGTTGTTTTTTTTTTTAAAAAAAAGCGAAGTTAAAAATGCAGCATAATGAAAAAAGAAAACCTGCACAGGAAGAGTGGAGTAGAATGAAGTAAAGGAAGAATAATGCAGTGGCATTTTCTGTATGTGAATCTTTTTTTCCCTTTCCACCATGAGCTTCCTTCTCAACAGCCTTCTCTGTGTTTCCTTCTATTTTATTATTCATCCATTGCTTCAAGTAATACATTCGTACTGTAATAGAGGTGAAAGTGGAGTTTAATTATATAATCTTGACAATGGCAATAGGATTAAGAAGTAATCCTCACTAATAAAGTGGTGTGGGTTAGAAATGAAGTGGAAATTGTCAGGGGTCTTCCACAAGACCTGGACTGCCCCAGCTTCTGCAGCTGTCTGCTTGCCCTGTAATTGAATGTCTGCGAGTGATTGAAAAAATGTTATTTCTCCTCTGGATTACATGCTAATGTACAGAGGGCAAAGGGAGACAGCAAAAGAACACATAGCTGCTTATTTCGTCCATTTGTGGGAGTGAGCTTTGGGAAATCATGGCAGTTCCGCAGCTATCTCATGCCCATCTGCAAACACAATGTATTTGTACGTTGGGAATAGAGGGCAAAGCTGCTCTGATCTCAGCAGAGCATCTCTTCTTTTGTCCTAGTGGCACACATTGAGATTGATGTGAGATTAAGGACCATCACCCTCCTAACAATCGATGGAAATGACAATTCATCTGAATTTTTTGTCAGTTATTCTCACGTTGATTACCTGAATGTGTGTACCTCATTTATAGATGCTTTATTAAAATTGTCTATGTCACTTCCGTATCTTCCACTGTTTTATGAAAGTCAGATAATACTGTAGCCAAGTAACTTAATTTCCTTACTTCTTAATCAGCTGGATGACAAACCTAACTTGTTTTCTTTCTGTATGTGTTAGTTTATATAATAGGTTCTACATTGTTAGATCTATGCTGAACCTATTGTTTTCAGTAGTAGCCTGATTTGTTCCTTTGATAAACCCTGTGGAGATGTGATTGTTCCAATAAAAATTCATTCAGTTGGAAACCAACCCTCCAGCTGTTTACTCCCACAGTCCCTGAGCTACACTAACACTGCATGGAATCCTTGAACAATATTTAACATGGAATCAAAAGCATCTTTAAAACATTTTACTTCAGGCTCTATAACATTGCGTAAGCTTAACAATAGATTTCTAGCATCCAGGGGGGAACACTTTACAGTGAGACAACTCTGAGCCTTGACTGCTATGTCATCTTCCTGGAAAGCTGTCAAAACTCTCCAGTACCTAAAGAACACATCTGACAGTAAGATTTCAAGTGTTCTTGTGTGTACTCTTTATATTGCGTATGACAGAAGGTATGCAACTCTCGAACTTTCTCAAAAAGAAAATGCATCTGAGTAAAAACTGTGTACTGCCATGCTAAAGCCAGCTCTGGCACATGTAATAAATGCATCAGTTTGCAATTGTAGCTGCTTCAATGTCGGCAGCACAGAGACACTGCAAATCTGTTACATATGTCCTTTTCTGGGATAAAGAGTTTTGCTTTTTAAGGAAGAACTACACTCTTTGCTTTATTTATTTTAATGTCCTAGGCTTGAAAAGCAAATAATTTGCACCCATGCTCTTTTCTGTTTTGAATATTGTTGGTGTTTTCACTCTTTGGCAGGTCCAGTTGCTCTAAGCACACTAGCTCAGCTTGTGGCACCCTCAGTAGTAGTGAAAGGCACTCTTTCCATCACTCTTTCTGAGCTCTACTTTGAGGTGGATGAAGAAGATCCCGGTTTTAAGAAAATCGACCCAAAGGTAAGAGATAATTGACCCTGAGCTCTGAGAGATGATGACAAATTACCCAAGACCTTTAATTCTTCATTCGAATTCCTTTACCTCTGTTGGTCCACAGTGTTCCTGCTTTCGTAAGTTTGTGACTGTCCATAGATGTTACTGAGCTTATAGAATCATTTTGGTTGGAAAAGACCTGTAAGATCATCAGGTCCAACCATCAACCCAACACCACCATGTCTGCTAAACCATGTCCTGAAGTGCCACGTCTACACGTTTTTTGAACACCTACGGGGATGGTGACTCCACCAGTTCCCTGAGCAGCCTGTTCATGTAGGTGACACCTACCTTCCTTCTCCTTTTTCTAAACCCCTCCAGTTCGACCCTACTTGAATGTTAATTAGCTTGCTGCGAATAAAGCTCCAGGGAGGGCATCTTAAATAAAGACATCTTGAATCACAGGCATGTGTGAGTACTGGAAAGTTCAACGAGGCTTTTAGCCCAAATGCTTTGTTTTACTTTCCTATTTTTATAGAATGCCAGTGTAACATAGCATTGAACTTCCTACACTCGTAAGTTTTCAGTACTTCTGTATCATATTATTCTATAACAGATTTTACAGGGCCTGTTGTTATTTATTGTGCCTAAGCAGAAAACATAATTGCCCTCTTAAAATGGGTTTCTGAACTGACTTGCTAATTTCCACAAACTTTATTTCCTCCGAGTTACTTGATTACTAGTCTTTTGTTTAAAATTAGTAACCTTCAGTGAAATTCCTATTTCAAAGGCAGTATATTGTGCAATTAGCTTAATAAGGTTGCACTTGAATGTTTTCTACAGTATTACAGCAACATTTCAGAGTATGACATGGTAAATATTGTTGCATCCCAGTTTAAGCACAGTGATGGCTCTTGGTTTTTTAAATATCTGCTTAATATTAAGCAAGGTAATACTTTATTTGTGAGGGGGGAAAAGTCACTGGAAGAAGTAGTGGTTTTCTACTTGTCTGTAGAGAGTACCTTGTGTGTTAAGCGCCAGTTCAGTTCTTTGTTCTTATGGAGTAAATTGCTCTTGTCTGTACTAAAAATGGCATCAGTGGGTCTGAAAGCTGGGATTATCAAATCCTATCAGGGAATAAATTTATTTAGAAAAACAACATTCTAAAATTCTTAGAACTAGAATTTAATGTAAGTAATTAACTAGAATTATGATTTTTATGTGATACCATAAATAACATTTAACTTTCTTTTGGTCCTGACCTATTTTTAAAATATTTTTGAAATTGTCTAAAGCATGAGATAAGTTTTAAAATTTTGAAATGCTTACTCCTTCCATAGTGTTTCTTTTAAAATATTTAATGGTAAAAAGAATATAAATATAAAATGTAATATAATATATAAAATATAGCAGTTTGTTACTGTATTACATTTTCCATCTAAAATGTTCTGCTCTGTATTGCATTAGCATGAGATAAGTCTTACACATCTGCATTATTCTGCATTTTTGTTTTCCATGTTTAGCACGTACGAT